CCCCTCACCTCACACCTCCTCCTCCTCTTCCTCCTGCTTCTCCTCCGTCGGGTGCGGGGGAGGGGGTGGACCCCGCCTGCAAAGAACCTGTGGGACGGTTCGAACTGCGCTTCGGTTTGGGCCGCGGCTCGGAGGGGAAAGCGAGGGTCGGGAAGCGCGGCCATGCGGGCTCCTGCGGGTCTCCGTCGCCCCCTGCCCGGTTCGGTTGTTGGGGTCCGGGAGGGCAGCCCGACTGCTCCCCGCCGCCACGGTGGAACCAGCCCGCGGGAGTCGCTCCGGCCGGCCGCGCGCAGTCATAGGGGTTTCAGGGGCCGCTGTCGGAATTCTAGACCCTGCCGGTTAAGAATGTCTGTATTTCTTCTGACCTGAGGTAAACTTGCTTGATTTTTTTAAGCATCTGTTTCCTCAACTTCTGGGAAAAAGGATGCCGCGGATACCCAACTCGGGAGGTAGTTGTGATGTTTAAAATGCTGGAACATAGTAAGTGCTCAATAAATGGCAAAGGGGCCTTGACAGTTAAGTGGTGTAGGTAGTTGAGCCTGTGCACTCCACTGTAGAGCTAGTGGTAATGCGGACGAAAGCCCTCATTACTATTATTCCAGTACTGTGTTGGGGTCTTAGCCCACGGATCAGTCAGGGAAACAAGAGCAAGCCTGGCCCTGTCTGTGGACGTACATGCTTAAGCCGGGAGAATCCGTGCGGAAACCTGCGCAAGGTTCAAGAATGGGAGGACACTGTAACTGCAGCACGGGTATTGAGCATCACCCCGCGGAAATATAAAGGAAGAGACTGTAATAGCAGCTAAAAGGCAAAATACGTATAAATAATGTAGCAGGACGTGCAAAGTTTACATAAGGAAAACTTCAATGCCCTCTTACAAGATTAAGAAATAGATCTGAACGATGGAAAAACGTTCCTTGCACTTGAACAGGATGACTAACATCATAAAAATGCCAATGTTTTCCTTTTAGCATATGCTTATGCTGCCCCAATAAAAAATAAGCAGTAACTTTTTACACTAAAGTTTGTGTGGAAAGATAAGCATAAAAAATAGCTAAGGAAACATTGAAGATGAGCTTTATTTATTTATTTATTTATTTTGGTTTTTCTCCGGGAAGATGAGCTTTATAAGACGAAGGCAAATTCTGCCAGATACTAAAGCATACCATAAAGTCTCTGTAGTTAAAAATGTAAGGCACTAGTACTTAGATTGAAAGACAAGTTGAGTGAAATAGGAAACTGAGAAATAAACCAAAGTATATATAGAAATTTCATCTGTAACATGGGTGACATCCCAGCCTGAACAGAAAATACACTTTGTAATTTAAATGCTGTTGGATTGAATAGCCAATTGGAAAAAATGCAAGTTATGAGTGGGGAAAAGCTCCACAAATCAAAATTTGCTCACAATGAACGTATGATAACATATGAACAAATAACAAGCAAAATCAAAAGACAAATGACTAATTGGGAGAAAATAAGGTGTCACTGACAAAGGGATAATTTCCCTACTGTATAAAAATTCTATAAATTGGAGAGGAGAAGTAACTATTAGAAAAATGGAGGGAAATAAGATTCAAAGCCCATAAAGTATAAGAAAAATACTAACAGTAGGAGAAATGCCAATTAAAACGGAGATATCATTGCTTTCAGATGGGCAGAAATTCAAAAGCCTTACAACACTGTTGGTGAGGTTTTGAAGAAATGCGATCCAAGGTCTGGATAATACAGTAGTGTATTTTTATACTTTATATATTTTACTTTTTGTTACTGTTATCATTTAGGTTTCCTTCAGTTACTGTTTAATGTACCCTATAATGTATGTTTTATTCATTAGGTCTACAATATACCCCTACTTACTGTTTTGCCTATGACTTTTCTTGGGCTGCGCTGTTTAATTCTCTTAGTATAGGTGTGCTGATACAGTTTTTAAGTGCTTTTTCTTGTCAATTCCTGTAGGTGGGTTTTTGGTGTTACTGGGAACATAGATATAATTGTTACATATTTATTGTACGTTGTGGATGTATGCAATATGAAGCCTCCTCCTTTGCTTTTGGTCCTAAATTCTATTTTGTTTGCTCTTTAATGCTTGTAGTCTTTATATGTTTTATAACCCAGCATTTGAAAATTTTCAGCCTTCTTACTCATTTTGAATCACAATTTGTATATAATGAAATACTCAGATATTAAGTGTACCTGATCTCTATTAACAAATGCAGAACAGAGCACAGACATTACCTTCATCCCAGAAAGTTCTGTCATGGCTCGTTAGAGGGACCCCAAGACTACCTCTGTTTTTGAAGATTTGTTAGAATGACTGACAGGACTCATATACTTGTAGTCACATTAAACTTCATTGCATTGATGTAGGAAGGCTAGACCACGGAATTATACGGAAAAACACAAAATCTATAAAAACTCATACACAACTATCTTTATATTTTTCACTTCCCAAGAAGGGTCACAGTCTTTCCTCAGCAATAAAGTACAAAGTCTGTGCAGTGTTTTACCTAAGGGACTCCGTTAGTCTCAGCACTCAAGTGTTTGATTAGGTAGGAGTTTATCAAGTAGGGCCTCTTTGCCTATCATGTACCACAGTTCCAGACTTCTGTACTGTTATGGTTTATGTCTGTGTGTCCCCCCAAAGCCTCATGCGGTCACGGGCAGGCTTTTAAAGTTTGATTAAGGGTGTGAGAGCTGCACCCGCCCTGGGGTGGATAGTTTGCATATGTAAGGGAGTGGAAGAGAGTGCTTGAGGCCATTCCTCCCTCATTCCGCCCTGGTGTGTGGTTGTTGCTTAGCTGTGTTCTGCCGTCCTGAGCTGCAGCTCTTTGCCATGTGCCACTCTGCCTTATAATCTGCCAAGTATGGACTGAAACCTCCACAAACTGTAAGTGAAATAAACCTTTCCTTCCTTAATTTTGGGCGTCAGGTATTTTGTTCCAGCAGCGAGAGAAAAGTAACCAAGACATGTACATAAAGCAGCTGTTCATCATTTAGGGCTGAAAAACTTCCTTTCTTTTTAGGTTGTGTGGATAGGCTTGAAAAATAAACTGACATAAAACAAGAGAAAAGCATAAAAATGTTATTTAATTTTTTCACATGCACATGGAAGTCATAAGGAAACTGAAACCCCAAGAAGGAGTTACAGCCCGGCGTGGTGGTGCACGCCTGTAATCCCAGCACTTGGGAGGCTGAGGCAGGAGGATCGTACTGAGTTCGAGACCAGCCTGAGCTACAAAGTGAGCTCAAGGCCAATCTGAACTGCATAGTGAGACCCTGCCTCAAAAAGACAAAAAAAAAAAAAAAAAAGAGGTCTAAGAGCATATATACTTCTTTTTTTCAGTTTTTATTTTTTATTAGTACATGCTTGCATTACATAATGATTACATTCCTTATAGGAAGTTGGTACATGTGCATAACACATCTTGATTCTTTTTTCATCTCCTGTCTCTCCGCTCCCATTCCCTCCATCTTGTCATCTCTTCCCTTTTTCAAAAGATCTATCTCCCTACTTCCTATTGCATATCTTTTATTTGGCTCTATATTTATATTTTGGGTGTCTCATATAAGAGAAACCATGCAATATGTAAGTTGTGTCTCTGATTTATTCCACTCTACATTGTGCTCTCCAGGTGCATCCATTTTCCTACAAATAACTCAAATTTATTCTGTGTGGCAGAGTAGTACTCTGTTGTGACAAATACACACTTTTTATCATTCATCTGTTGATGGACATGTAGATTGCTTTCACAATTTAGCTGTTATCAATTGTGCTGCTATAAACATGGATATATATGTATCACTGTAATATAATGTCTTTAGTTTTTTATTTGTTTTTTGAGACAGTCTTTCTATGTAGTTCAAGCTGGCCTTGAACTCACAGTGAGGCCAAGCTGGCATTGAACTTTCAGTGATCCTCCTGCCTCAGCCTCCAGAGTGCTGGGTTTACAGGCATACACTACCATACCCAGCCTCAGTTTTATTTTGATTTGCATTTCATTAATTGGCAGAGAAGTTGCACATTTTTTCATGTATTTATTGGCCATTTGTACTTCTGAGAAGTACAAAGAAGTGTCTATTCATTTTAGTTGCCCATTTTTGAGTGGGCCTTTGATTTAGGGGGTGTCTAACTTTTTTTGAGTTCCTCATGTATTCTATTTTTTTTTTCAATAAAAGGAGGAAAACATTAACAGACAGACAACATTTTACAACATAGCCACAGAACAGTACAGACAATATGGAGTTACAAACAAAGTGTTAGGGAATTAACAATGGTTGTATTACATATTGATATCTTCTAAGTGGCTTCTCATGAAAACAGATATAGAAATGCAATGCTGATCAACCAAAGACTCATTGACAGTTTCTTTCAGCATAGAAATAGAACACAGAAGAACAACCATGTTAACTATCCTGTATATACATACATACAAAATTTCTCCTTCTTTCCCTTTTCTTTTCCCACATCCCAGTTGCCCTTTACTCTTGAGCAGTTTCCTATCATTTCACAGTGTCTATCATACCTCTGAGTTTAAATTAACTCTTCCAAGTTTTACACTAGTGAAACAATGCGGTGCTTGAACATGTATGTTTGATTTATTTCACTTATGAGTATGGTCTCTAGTTGTGACCATTTACTTATAAAAGCCTCAAGTTTATCCTTCTTTACAGCTGAGTGAAATTCCATTCTATAAAAGTACCACAATTTTCTTATCCAGTCCTTGGTGGATGGACATTTTGGTTGCTTCCACATTTTAGCAATTACAAATTGTGCTGCTATGAACATAGGTGCACATATATCACTGTGATATGATG